AAGTCCTGGAAGTGAGCCATGGCTGGAGTGGGAGCAGAGAGAGCACGAGCCGAGTCCCAGAAGCGAGCTAGGGCCAGTGGGAGGAGAGAGCGCGCAGGTCGAGTCCTGGAAGCGAGCTACAGCCAGAGGGAGCAGAGAGAGCACGTGTTGAATCCCGGAAACAACCTATGGACAGAGGGAGGAGAGAGAGCATGGGCCAAGTTCTGGAAGCGAGCCGTGGCTGGAGTGGAAGCAGATCAAGCACAGGCCGAGCTGGGAGCTGAGTTGCAGCTGGAGCCAGGAACAGGAGCAGAACGAGCGTGGGCTGGCCGGAAGGACAAGTCCTGGAGTCCGGGCCAGAGGCCAATGCGTGGCGGCAGTGTGGCCTTGTGTTCTAAAGGCTGGCAGGCACAGACTCAGTGAAATGGACTATAGCTTCATTACTTTAAAGATACCTTTTATTCTCATTCTGGACTTTTAAATTCTGTATTCCTTTGCTAGTCAAATTTTTTAATTCTATTTGCAACGACACTTAACATATCTGTACCTAGGTACCCTGTACCTAAGATGGCACCGAGAAGTAACATTACAAACTTTTCACTGCACTCATTCCAGTGCATGTGACAATAAAGGATATTACATTCTAATCTAGTCCAGAGCCGATCCTGAGAGGAGCTAACCAATGTTCCTGTTGTTGGTCTAATTGAGAAGTCTGTGTTGTTAACAGTAATGTCTACTTAATCCAAAGTACAGTATGAGATCTTACAAAAGGCCCTTGTGTAATTCAGATTGAGTGTAACGAGCTATTAATTATTATGTAGTGCATTCTTCTGTTCATCAAGACTGTTGAAGACTTTGGTGGGTACCTTTCCTCACCTGGTATCAGTAACTTCGAGTCATACCGACAGGAAGGATTGGTGCTAGTGAATTGATCCAAGGCATCTCAAATGATGCTGGTGGATACAGCCACTATAAATACCACATTAATAGTACTGGAATTTGAAAACATATCTTTTCTCATTAATGACAACAAGGTGCAGGGCTGGATGAACACAGCAGGCCAAGCAGCATCATAGGAGCAGAGTTGTCTCGGATTCTCCAGCATCTGCAGTTCCTACTATCCCTTTTCTCATTAATGTTCTGAATTAGAAGTAGTGAGGTATCTTTCCGAGTTTCCAGCCAGTTACCTCTGTCCAAAATATGTACTTGCGTGTGTATGGTACCTATTTATGCATCTAATTGTATGTGTGTATATCAACGAAAAAATGGATGAGTAGGTAATAAATGGAGAATAATTATATAAAGAAATATGAAAGGGGCAAGTTTGGAAACATTAACTTGAACTCAGATTCATGTAAATCTCTGCAATTGACTGATATCATGTCCCCACTCTGCAACTTCATGTTTTCAGGTCAGCCATTTGACACGGACGTTATAACAAACTTTGCCACAGCCAATGTCATCTGCTCCATAGTATTTGGAGACAGGTTCGATTATGAGGACAAGACATTTCTCAACATAGGAAACATGGTCCATGAAAGCTTTCGACTACTTGGCAGCCCCATGGTCCAGGTAACTTCAGTATCTGACAACTATGAGAGTAACATCATTTAGAAATTGCATTAACCATTGGATATTGATCAGAAAGGGTAGGGTGTCTCAAACGTTTGAACAACAGGTTGAAGCTAGCTGCTCCTTGCTGTTGCTGTGCAGTAACAACAAAAATAGTGTTCGTAATGAGTTGGATGTTGCTGTCAAGCCAAAAAGATATTCTGTCTGTCACACAAATGAATATTGAGGTAGCTGACTTTCATTTCCTGTGTGATGCTAGGTATGTAGGCCATTCCTCCACTAGACTGGAGGGTTGTACCCATACAGTGTATCCTTTCACTGCTCACAATAAGCAAGGTTATGACTGTGTGAGTTCTGAAGAAGGGTCACTGGACTCAAAACGTTAACTCTAATTTCCTCCACAGATCCAGCCAGACCTACTAAGTTTCTCCAGCAATTTCTGTTTTTGTTACTGACTGTGTCCAAGCAACCTGCACTTGCAGAACTTGCAACATTTGCTGGATAATTCTGAGTGTACAAAGAATTATAGTGATAAGCAATTTAAGATCGTTAGTCAGGCTGATAGTATGGTGCACTTATGTGTATTGGAAGCTGCATATGTTAATACACAGGACCTTGTTCTTTACAGACAGAAAGAACATGTCCTTGCAATGTGTCTGTTTCAATTCAACAAAACAATTTGTTTCTCAGCTTTAAACAATCAGAGTTTCATGGTTTACAATTTAAATGAAGCTTGGCTTTTAATGTCAATAATTATTAGCTGGTGAATTCTCCATGACAATACCTCTACCAATCCATTTGACAACCAGTCAGCACCTTCCTCTCACCGTTGGTTTTCCTTGTAAGTTGCTATTCTTGTGAAATGTCCTGATGCGGCCAAAAAGCTTCAATATGATAGAACAAAGAACAAAAGAGAAGTACAGCACAGGAACAGGCCTTTTGGCACTCCAAGCCAATCACCATGCCCTAACTAATCTAAACAAAACCTTATGCCTTTACTCAGTCCATATCCCTCTATTCCCTCTCTATTCATGAAACCATCCAGATGCCTCTTAAATGTCACCAACGTGCCTACTTCCACCACCTCTTCCGGCAGTGTATTTCAGGCTCCTACCACTCTCTGCGTGAAAAACTTTCCTTGCATATCTTCCTTAAACAGTCCTCCTTTCACCTTGAACCTGTGCCCCCTTGTAATTGAAACTTCAATCCTGGGAAAAAGCCTCCAACTATCTACCCTATCTATGCGTCTCATAATTTTGTAGACCTCTGTCAGATCTCCTCTCAGCCACTGTCTTTCCAGTGAAAACAATCCTAGCCTTTTTAACCTTTCCTCATAGCCAATACCCTCGAGACTGGGCAACATCCTGGTGAACCTTCTCTGCACTCTTTCCAAAGCTTCTGGTAATGTGGCAACCAAAATTCACACAATACTCCAAATGCAGCCTAAAAAGGGTTTTATATAGCGGCAACATGGTTTGCTAACTCTTGTACTCCATGCCCTGGCTGATATAGGCAAGCATGCGATATGCCTTCTGAACCACCTTGGCCACCTATGTTGCCACTTTTAGGGGGCTGTGGACCTGCATGCCCAGATCCATGTGTATGTTAGTGTTCCTAAGGGTTCTGCCATTTGCAGTATAATTCATACTTAAATTTGATGCTTCAAAATGCATCACCTCGCATTTGTCTGGATTAAATTCCATCTGCCATTTCTGTGCCCAAGTCGCCAATCTATCTATATCCTGTTGTATCCTTTCACAATCATCAGCAAGATCAGCAACTCCACAAAGCTTCGTGTTGTCTGCAAACTTACTAATCAGATCACCTACATTTTCCTCCAGATCACTTATATATACTACAACCAACAGGGGACCTAAGATTGATCTCTGTGGAACACCATCAGTTACCGGTCTCCATTCTGAAAAAAACCTCTCCACTACCCTCTGTCTTCTATGACCATGCCAGTTTTGAATCCATCTAGCCAGCCCACCCCAAATCCTATGTGATTTTAGCTTTTATAGCAATCTGCCATGCCAGACTTTAGCAAATGCCTTATTAAAGTCCATATAAACTACATCCACAGGCCTTCCCTCATCAATTATCTTTGCCAACTCTTCCAAAAAAATTCAATTAAGTTGGTGAGACTTGACCTTCCTGTACAAAACCATGCTGCCTGTCACTAACTCGTCCACTTACTTCAAAATGGGCAGATATCTTGTCCCTCAGTATCTTCCCTAAGAGCTTCCCCACCGTAGTTGTCAGGTTCACTGGATTATCCCTGGTTCCTTTCTTAATCTACCAAACTCCTCTCATTGGACTGAAAGATAACTATCCTCACATAGAGTGATACAGACAAGGCCCTTCAGCCCAACAAATCTGTACCACCAAAACATTGGTACTGCCAGTAGACCATGAGAGCCCCTAAAACACCGACATAGTTAGATGCTCCAGACGGCAGCACACACTATAACGCCTCCATCGATTACAGTTGGAGCCAGTTTTGTGCCCTGAATGTAAAGAGAGAGAGATTTCCTTGTCCATTTGTATTGAAAAAAAAAAGCAGCTCACTTGAAGTGCAGCTGACATCTGTGGCTGCCAGCTTCACTCACAGTGGCTAAAGCCAAATAGCCTCCATCAGAAAGCTGTAGTTTTGAGGCGTGCTCTAAAGTTTACATGAAACTATTTGTTGAGCAGCATCAATTGAATTCTGTGCTGCTGGAGATGATGGCCTAACCCTGCATTGGATGAATGTATACTGTAGTTACGTTTGAATGAATCTCCTTAAAATACACCACAGTGTGATTCCATTTTCTTCTCAAGCCATTGGAGGAGAAAGGCAGGTCGGAGAATAATGGGTGGTCAGTCTGTCTGTTTAGAGGATATTATTTCTTGTTTCTATTTTCCTACAAATTAGTGCTGTGTGATGCTAAAAGGGAAGGTTTAATAATTTACCATGGAGCTTAGTCTCTGAAATTACTTGCAAGAAACTATCAATTTTTAAAAAAAAAACATAAAAGGAAAAGTAAATTACATTACACTACTCAAGAGTAATTGGAATCATCTCAATATAAACATCAGAAAGAAAGATTCATCCCTTTTAGCCCAGCAATAAACTTACAGAAGCTCAAACCTTAGTGAACTGTCATCCCTGTCTCTATGCTAAAGCTTCCAGCTCAACTGGCATGGCTGTAATTGTTTCATTTTGGTAAATTCCAGTACACTCACATGATGCTACTTTCTTCAGCTAAAGATCATCTCTTAGACCATAAAAGCAATTGTTCACTTATTGATTAACATGAATTCCTTAAACTCAAGTCTTCAATAGGCTTGTCTTTCTCTCTCCAACCCTCACAGTATCCTGCTTCTGGAACATTTTTCTCATTGACTTCCGAGTAATTCAGGACTTCACCTCACTCCAAATAGCAGCACCTGTGTGGTCAAGAGCCTCTTTCCCCATGCATGAACCTGCTTCTGGCCCCTTCTCTCTCTCGCTGGATCATAAAATCAAGTCAGCAAATACCTCAGCAATTATCTCCCCAGGTGTCTTGCTGTTCATTTAGCTGAAACCACATGATTTTGTGTAAATGATGTTTTGAGCTCAATGTTCAAAATCACCTTCTGACTTACAAGAAAAAAGTCAAACCTTCACAGAACTGAAAACAAAAATCCATATTTCCGCCATTTGAGGCCAAAATTTCTCAATAATAATAAAAAACTATCTTATGAATCTTCACAACAATGAGTGATATCCTATTTAAAGTATGTGGGTTAAAAATTTCATTAAAAGGATAAATGTAATTCAATATTGTAATGTTCCCTCAGATGAAATTATTGTTAAGTGTGTTTTAACACCTCTTGTTCTCTCCCATGTCAATGTCTTTCTTGGAAGTTATGATCTCTTACACATACCAAATTATTTTGCCAGTAAGTACCAGTTTACCGCAATGTTTGGCAGGTGTACAATGCTTATCCATTTCTGAGGTTTCTACCTGGAAGCCACAAAGAGATCTGCAAGCAATTTGAGATGTTGAAGACATGTTTGATGGAGATCATCAAAGGTAAACAACAGGAGCTGAATGAGAATGACATCAGGAGCTTCATTGACACTTACACTGTGAAACAGCAAGAGGTATGATCATCAGATACTCTACAAATTAGAAAGATACAATTCCAATGGCAGTCAGCAACAATCTCAGTGGACAGGAGTCCCACCTCTGAGTCAGAAGCTCAGGTCACACTGCAGGGACTTGAGCAGATAGTCCAGGTCATTACTGAGAAAATGCCACACTATCTACCTGCTGCTATGTAGATTGGATGATAAAGCTTCATTTCATCTCTCGGGTGGATTGCAACAAAAAACCCCATTGCAATATTTTGAAGAGGAGCAAGAATGTTCTGTCCAATATTTACCACTCGACAATATAATGAAAATCAGAGCATAATGTATTAGCTAGCCATTACCACATTCCTAATTGTGAGATCTTGTTATGCACAAATTGACGCTAATGTTTCCTGCTGAGGGGCCTGGGAGTCCTCATCCATGAATCACAAAAACTAGCATCTAAGTTTAGTGGGTAATAGGGAAGGCAAATGGAATGTTTGCCTTTATTTCAAAGGGAATGGAGCAGGGAGGCTTTGATAAAACTGATTTCTCTGATCACAGCTAGAATAGACCTTGTAAAGAAATGATACATTGGCATTATAGGCAGTTCAGAAAGGTATCACCAGACAGATACCAGGTATGGAGGGATTATATTATGAGGTGTGTTTGAGTACATTGGTCCTGCACTTTTTGGAATATAGAAGAATGAGAGATGACATTAATTGAAGCATAAAATATTCTTAGAGGACTTGATAGAATAGATGAGGAAAGATTGTTTCCTCCTGTGGGAGAGTCTAGGACCAGGCAACGTAAACTCGGAACAGGAGGTTGCATATTTAAGGCAGAGATGAGGAGGAGTTTCTTCTCTCAGATGGCTGTAGAGTTTGGGTTATTAAGTCTATTCAACACTGAGATAGACAGAGTTTTAGTCACTAAGGGTATCAAAGGTGATGAGGAAAATGCAGGAAAATAGATCTGAGGGATACCAGATTAGCCATGATCTCATTAAATCGTGGAGTACACTTGATGTTGTGGGGACGGGGGGAGGCTGAAAGGCCTACTTCTGCTCTAATGTCTTATGGTCTTATTATAGGCTACACTTGACAAGTACTTTATGAGCTGTAAAGTGCTTTGGAATGTTCTGAGCTTGTGAAAGGTGCTATATAAATGCAAGTCTTCTTTTCAGGTTGACACAATCTCAAACCTTTTGACAATCTGCACAAACAGCACAATAGTACAAGAGATTATTATACAGTCTAAATCTCTCAACTTCCAGGGTATCAGCATCTGGGACTGCAGCAGTAATTTAAACTGCAGAATAAAATGGAGTTGACATTAAATTTCACTCACAGATTAATGGTGCCTGAGAGAATGGTAAAAATACAGATCAGAAACAAATAGAAACAGGGTATTGACTATTATGATCTCATTCTGTGATCCTCCAATTCCCTTTCAAGGAGGCGGGAAACCCAAACACATACTTCCATGAAAAGAACTTAGTGATCACAACGAGTGATCTGTTCATTGCCGGAATGGGAACTGCTGCCACCACCATTCGCTGGGCACTTTATATCATGATGAAATACCCAGAGATTCAGGGTAAGGAAGAACACAAATATTCCTTTCATTTTTCCAGCTCTATTGGACATTTCCTTGTCTGCAGCACACTCTGGTGTGTTGATTGACAATGGCTCCCTGCTCCTTCCCACTCACTCAACATAGGGATGGAACCTTTCTCTGCTCAGGCCGGTGTCTGAAATACGCAAAAAGTCTGATTTCTGATGTTCTTATTTCTGTTGAAATAATGACATACTCAACAGGAAAGTACAAGGGTATTGTGGTACATTATGATACTGGGTGTATAGACCAGGCTTGTGTTCGCTTGAGTTGTGGAAGATTAATGGTTAATAACTGAATAATGATTGGGCAGTAAGGTGGCACAATGGTTAATGCTGCCTCATAGCTCCAGAGACCTGAGTTCAATTCGCATGTTCTCCCTATGTTGGCATGGGTTTGCTCCCACAGTCCAAAGATATGCAGGATTGGCATGGATTAGCTCCGCTGAATTGCCCTGTGTTGTCCAGGGATTTGTAGGCTAGAGGGATTAGCCATGGGTAATACAGGGCTGTCGGGATGGTATGGCTCTGAGTGGGATGCTCTTCAGAGGGTTGGCATAGATTCAATGGGACAATGACCTCTATCTGTAGGGATTCCAAGGTTCCAGGATCAAGTCGGGATGCTTAATGTGATTACAAGGTTTGATTGGATCGATAAATCAAAACGTCCTTTTGGTGAAGTTTGGTGATGGGGTAGGAGGTGGGGTCGTAGGGGGAGAGATCAGAATAATAAAGCGTAACCTTAAAATTAGAGCGAGGCATTCAGGGGTAATGTTTGACAGCTCTTCTTCACACAACTGCTAGTGAAAATCATAGAATCATAGAATCCCTACAGTGTGGAAACAGGCTATTCGGCTCAACAAGTCCACACCGACCCTCCGAACAGCATCCCACCCTGACTCATTCCCCTACCCCTGCATTTCCCCATGTCTAATCCAAACATCCCTGGACACTACAGGCAATTTAGGATAGCCAATCCACGTAGCCTGCACATCCTTGGACTGTGGGAGGAAACCAGAGCACCTGGAGGAAGCCCACACGGACACTGGGAGAATGTGCAAACTCCATACAGACAGTCGCCTGAGGGTGGAATTGAACTCGGGTCCCTGGTGCTGTGAGGCAGCAGTGCTAACCATTGAATCTGGACCTTGCATCCCTACTCCAAAATTTGTTAACATTGGGAGTCAATTGAAAATTTCAAAATAGAGTTTGCTGGATTTTTGTTAGCTTAAGAATTCTGGAACAGAAATGGGTGGACAAAATTAAGATACAGATCAGACATGATTGAATTGAATAGTAGAAGAAGGCTAAAGGGCTGAATGGCTGTTTCTGCCTTTCTATAGGGCTGTTTCGGTCTGACTGGGCTGAAGTAAATTATTCTCCTAGTGGAAGAAAAACAAACATACAAATTCTGGACTGTCATAACTGCTCACTGATCATCAGTGAAAAAGAAAGGACGGAGCTTGAAGTATCTCAGTTCTGACCTTTCATAATGGACAGTTACCATTCGACAGATTCCTGGCCAGAGCTTTACAGGAACCTAGGCCCAGGGCTCTCTCAGTGTGGACAGGAGTAGAATATAACCAGTGATAACTAAAAAGCCACATGGCATTGATAACTCACTGCTGTCTCACTAACTACCTCAACATCCATTGGCTTGCTGGACAATCCCGAACGAATTCACCCCAGCAGCAGCCCAAACCCCAGCCTTCTCATCCAGCTCCTGTAACTGAGTTGATCTTTTAGAGCGATCTCCAGTAGAACCCAGAATAGCTCAGCGAGAGACATGGCTCAGAGGCTCCAACATTAATCCGTTAGATGCGCTGTACAGTTGCATTGAACTGAACAACTTCAGACCCACCAGGAGTATTGTTTTCCTCTTTGTTGTAGAATCTGCATTGTACTATATAAACTTTTCTTTTTGGGTAGTAGCACAGAAAGGGAGGTGTGGCACAGGCTACCGTTGTGCCCTCCCCTCAGTGTTCAGTACGTGAGTGTAAGAGCCTTCAGATGCGGCACCACCAATTTCGCATTACCTCCAAGCCACACTTCCACCCACTTCAGCCTTTCTGTGTTTTAGGGAAAGTTCAGGAAGAAATTGACCGAGTGATTGGATCAGAGCGATCTCCCAGGATGGAGGACAGGAAGTATATGCCCTACACTGATGCTGTTATCCACGAGGTCCAGAGGTTTGCGAACATCGCCCCCTTGGGCATCCCACGATCGACGACCGTGGACATCAATTTCCAAGGATATTTCATCCCAAAGGTAGGTAGATGCAAATCCGTCACAAATTAGGGCTTGAGAGAGATAGTGGGGCCTGCCGATGCTGGAGAATCTGAGATAACAAGATGTAGAGCTGGATGAACACAGCAGGCCAAGCAGCATCAGAGGAGCAGGAAAGCTGACGTTTTGGGTCTAGACCCTTCTTCAGAAAAGT